AACTGAGAATGCTCATTTACCTGGGATTAAACCCACTCAGACACTGAACTCATATCCTTATTTAAGGCATGTGATTTAGCAGAAAGCAAAAAAAGCTAACATCTATACAGACAGTTACTACATATTTTGAAAAAAAATTAAAAATTATAAAAGTCAGGAGCCATGAAGTCTCTCAGGCAGGTCGCGTACCGGTCAGGAATTCCAACTCCCTGATAAGTAAGTTTTATGGCTGAGACATCTGGCCTCCTGATAAGTAAGTTTTATGGTGGGAACATCTCCACCTCACTGATAAGTGAGGTTTTATGGTGGAAACATCTGGCTTAGTGATGTCAGCTTCCCGCTCTCCCTGTAGCATTTTGTAATAGTTTAAATGAACCAATAACCGCGTTTCTGCTTCTGTATCCCGCTTCTGCTCTATAAAAGTTCCACAAACCCGACCTGAGGCGCGCAAGTCCCCCGAGGAGACTTTGTGCCCACAGGTACCTGTGTACTAAATAAACCTCTTGCTGTTGCAACCCGAAGACTGACTTGTCCTCTGTGGTTTCACTCTTACACCAACACCCTCTTCTGACCTCTGCAGGTATTGCACAACATGGGTACATTTCCATACATGCAAGGAATACACACATACACATAAAAATAATAAATATTTTAAAAACAAACAAAAAACAAATGGACTTAATGGACATCTACAGAAGACTCCATCCAAACACCAAAGAATACAATTTCTTCTCAGCAGTCCAGGGAATTTACTCCAAAGTTGATCACATATTAGGACACAAAGCAAGTCTCCATAAATTTAGGAAAATTGAAATATCAATCTGTATTCTACTTGACCACAAAGGAATAAAGCTGGGCCTCAACAATAAAAATGAGAAAAGCTGAGCCAGGTGTTGTGGTGCACACCCTTAATCCCAGCACTCAGGAGGCAGAGGCAGGCAGATTTCTTTGAGTTCAAGGCCAGTCTGGTCTACAGGCTAGAGACCTTGTCTCAAAAAGACCAAAAAAAAAAAAAAAATCTCCCAACTAAAAAGAGTCCAGGCCAAGATGGATACAGCACAGAATTCTACCAAACCTTTAAAGAAGAACTAATACCAATACTCCTCAGATTACTCCATAAAATAGAAAAAGAAGAAACATCCCAAATTCTTTCTATGAAGCCAGTATTACTCTGATACCAAACCAAAGACTCAGCAAAAGGAAGGGAGGGAGGGAGGGAGAAGGAAGGAAGGAAGGAAAGGAAGGAAAAGAAGAAAGAAAGAAAAAGAAAAGAAAATTATAGGCCAATCTTTCTGATGAACATAAGATGCAAAAATTCTCAATAAAATACAAACCAAATGCAAGAACACATCAAAAAGATTATCCACCATGATCAAGTTGGCTTCATCCCAACAATGCAGTAATGATTCAACATAAGTAAATCAATAAATGTAATCCAATCTATGATGGTTTGAATGAAAATGTCCCCCATAGGTTCCAAGTATCTGAACATTTTGTCTCCAGTTGGTGGTGCTGTTTTGGGAGGTCTTAGATGTGGCCAGGCTAGAGGAAGCATGTTTCTGGAGAAGTGGGGGAGGGGAGCTTACAGAGTTCTTAAGCCTTGCCAGATCTCCAGTCATGTTCTGCTTTTGTAACTGTTTGAAGATGTGAGTGCATAGCTTCTGTTCCTTTTCTAGCCACCTCTGCCACCATGCCTCCCTGCCATGATGGACTCTTCCCCCTTTGGAACCTAAGCTAAATAAATTCTTCCTTTTATAATTTCCCTTGGTCATGGTGTTTTTATCAAAGCAACAGAAAAATGACTAATACACAATCCAAAACATAAACAGACTCAAGAACAGAAACCACATGACCATCTCAGTAGAAGCAGAAAAGGCCTTTCACAAAATCCTACAGAGGACATATCTCATAATACAGGCTGATTAACAGAGACACACAACTGGCCAATGTGCAGAGAATAAGAGGCTGCAGAGTGCTTATCCCTGAATAGGACACCTATTTCAAACTTCTGCCTCCCGAGTCTCAGGGATCATTGCAGAAGAGGGAGGGAGGGGTTTGGAAAGACTCTAAGAGCCAGAGGATAGGTGACCACAGACAAAGTTTTACAGACAGCAGGGCAGTTACTCGAATGAACTCACAGCAATGGTGACAGCATGAACAAGTCCCATGTAAGCTCAAGCCAGACAAAATTCCAGCATAAACCTGGGGAGGTAGGTAAGAAACCCCAACCCTACCTGAGGAACTATTGGCCACTAGGATAGGGAGAATCAGTTTCATTTAAGGGTGAGACTCTTGGTATGTTGACCAGGCTCTAGTGGATGCACACACAGCTTTCAGTTGTACTTTTTATTCTCTGTATCAATAACCCTCCCCATTCCCCTCCCCTTCCTCCTCCATTTTGTTTTTTGCTTGTCTTTGTTTTTTTGTATTGCTGGGTATTGACTACAGAGCCTTATATATGCTAGAAAAGTCATAACTACATCTCCAGTTTCCTTTTTTTCTCAAGACAAAAATCAAAGTTGTCCAGGCTGACCTTAAATGTGCTCTATAGCCCAGATGGTACATAAACTTACAACACTTCTGCCGGTTTCCCCAATAGCTGGGATTATAGATTACAGCTCAATTTATATCTATAAACTTATCAAGTAAGTCCTCATCTAAGGAAACTAGTGAGGAAATAGAGCAGCAGAGTGGTAGTGCAGCATTAGCACCCTTTCTCATATACCCTTTGTCATCATGCTTGACATATGGTTTTAGCACATGATTCCAAATACTCACATCATCATCCTTCAGGGTTTGAAGAAATTCCTGCAATTTATCTGTTGCTAGAGATAAAATTTTCTGGTCCATTGTTCATATCAGGGAACTACAAAGAAAAAAAATGTCACCAAAGTAAACAAGTTTTTTTATTTTTTTCCCCTAACTAAATATTTTATACCCATTACAGACAATGCACAGTGAGTGGTCAACAGATTGCAAGCTAGTACAAGAACATTCTTACCCTAATCAAAATCATCTTAAGAATGCCCTAATAAGAATGCCCTAAAATTCTGTGAGTGGTTTCATAGTTTTGCCCACATTTTTGTCATCTATTCAGCACATTATTTAAAACCAAACTGGCACTTAGCTATATATAAAAGCATGGCTGGGCATGGTGGCACACGCCTGTAGTCCCAGCACTTGGGAGGCAGAGGCAGGAGGATCTCTGTGAGTTCAAGGCCAGCCTGGTATACATAGTGAGTTCCAGGACAGCTAGGGCTACAGGGAGACCCTGCTTCAGAAAGACCAAAAAAAAAAAAAAAAAAGTATACATAAGCATGTAATAAAATACTCTCCAACAAATGAATAAGCCAACAGCATTGTAAATGCTAAGTGCCAACTAGGTGGTATTTTAAAAAAAAGTGAGGCTGGGGATATAGCTCAGTGATACAGTGCTTGCCTAGCATGCATAAGGCCCAGGGTTCAATTCCCACACCATAAAGAAAAAGAAAGAGAAAAGAAAGAACTAGAGCATGAGCAAGAGGGGTAGAGAGGGTGAGAGAGCATTGGCCCACTCCAGGTGTGGTGATGCAGGCATGTAATCCCAAGAGGTGGAAGTAGGATTAAGAATTCAAGGCCAGCCCTCACCTACACAGCTGGATTTGAGGCCAGCCTAAGCTACGTGAAACCCAGTCTCAATAAAACAAAGAAAAAAAAACACACACACAAAACAACTGAGAAGCTGGTAAGACTAAAAATGTTTCCAGTAGAAGAAAGCTTGGAATAGAAGTTAAAAGATTAAATTTAGGTAGTCAAGACAACCAGATGGTACACAACACTGGGAAGGGGGGTATCATAAACAGAAGCAGTCATATCAGAACTGAAAAACTTATTTGGGAACATGAATAAATTGACAAAGATAGAGTATAAGTAGAGAAACAGTAAGAAGGCCAGATAGGTAGTTTGAAAATAAACAAGATCTTAATCGTCAGTTAAGGAACTTGGATTCTACCCTGTAAATAAGTGAGAACTATCAAAAGTTTCTGAGCAAGAGAGTATGACAAGATTGAAACTCTTGGAAGCAGCTGAACATCAAATTATTATGCAGATAAAAGTAGGATGAGAATAAAGAGAAAGAACAGAAATTTGAGGGCAACTTGGAGGCTGCTTAGAGATAAGGCCTGTAGAGAGTGGTGAATCTGTGGAATGGAAAGGAAGGGGTGAAATAAAGGAACACTGAACACATAAATACTGAATAAATGTGGAAGTGAAGGGGAAAAACAAACATGAAAATGACTTTCTCCACTTCCTCCTGTTTCCCATCTCCATATATGGTAGCTTTATCCACTCAGGTGCTCAAACTAGAAACCCAGGCAAATTCTTAAGAACTCTGCCTTCACCCCCCGTATCTACTATTAAGTTCTGTCAATGTTACCTCTGAACATCTCTCAAATCTGTCAACATCTCTCCATCTCTCCTACTCTGTTACTCAAAACCACCATCATCTCTCACTGTCCCCCAACAAGTTTCCAAACTTGGGGCTGGAGAGATGGCTCAGCTTTTAAGAACACTTACTGTTCTTGCAGAAAACCTGGGTTCAAGTCCAACCATCCACATGCAGCTAACAACTGTCATAACTCCAGTTCCAGGGGATCTGAAAGTATCTTCTGGATCCCACGAACATACAATAAAGGTGTACTTACAACATGCAGATAAAACCCTCACATACCTAAAACTGAAATAAATTTTAAAGTTTCCTAACTTGTCTCCCTCTACATAGCAGCTAAAGTTATGTTTTCAAAAACAAAAACCAGATTATATAAATTGTTTTCTTTCCAACTTAGCCTCATCTTAAAATTCTGGTGTCCTTCCATTGCTTTCATATTAGACCAAAATCCTGGTCAGGATTTTAAAAAAAATTTAAATCTGGGGTCTAATCCCATGCCTAACTCCCCTTTTTTATATTTTATTATTACTTTATGTGTATGAGTATATTGCCTGCATTTCTCTAAGTACACTATGTCATGCAACACCTGCAGAGGTAAGAGGGCATCGGATCCCTGGAACTAGAGTTACAGATGGTTGTTAGCTGCCATATAGGTGCTGGGATCCAAATGCAGGCCCTGTGGAAAGGCAGCCAGTGCTCTTAACCACCGAGTCATCTCTCCAGCCCCCTAACTTCCCTTTGTCACTCTGTTGTAAGCACAGCGAATTGGGTCCTCTCCTGTCACCAGCCTTCATAAATGATTTCCCATCTGAAACTTAAAATAGCCCTCTTCCATTCTTGCCCTCTAATCATTTAATTTCTACAAAACTTTCAGATCTTAGCTCAACCCACCCTGTGTTAGAAACTTTGTCTAGGCTAAATGCTCCCCATTACATCCTCTTGAAGCACCAGTAAAATCTCTTACACAATATCATCAACTTTTAACACTACATTTTATATTAATGACTTTATCTCCCACTAGTCTATAAATTCCACGACTGCAGGGACTCTATCTGGTTTTGTTCATCTTCAGTACTCAGCACAGTAACAAGCTTTTATTAAGCACCTAACAAATGTCAAATGTGGATGACATATAACTCAGTTGGTAGAGTGCTTGCTTAGCATGCATGAAATTCTGAGTTATAGACCCCTCAAGTCTATATATAAGCCTGGTGTGGTGGTGTACATCTGTCATCACAGCACTCAGAAGGTGCACCTCCTAAACAGCTTGCTTGTGCCTACACAATGGCACTGCCCTATGTCCACCCAGTCACTGGCCTGTGTCCAACCAATGGCTCTGCCCTATGTCCACCCTGGCCTGTGTCCACTCACGGTTACTGGTCTGTGTCTACCCAATGGCACTATCCTATGTCCACCCAATGGCACTGCCCTATGTCCACCCAAGGCCATTGGCCTCTGTCTACCCAATGGCACTACCTGTGTCCACCCACAGTCACTGGCTTGTGTCTACCCAATGGCACTGCCCTGTTGTCCACCCAATGGCACTGCCCTACGTCCACCCTGGCCTGTGTCCACTCACGGTTACTGGTCTGTGTCTATCCAATCGCACTGCCCTATGGCCACCCAATGGTACTGCCCTGTGTCCACCCATGGTCACTGGTCTGTGTCCACCCAATGGCACTGCCCTGTATCCACCCACAGTCACTAGCCTGAGTCCACCCACGGCCACTGGCCTCTGTCTACCCAATGGCACTGTCCTGTGTCCACTGGCACTGGGCTACACACGCAAACGGAGTTTGGCGATGTCCCGGAAGCAGGCGCTGAACCTCTGCAGAGGGCAGGGCCCACAGGAGCGGCCGAGAGTGGCGCGTCCCGGAGAAACCCGCCAAAGTTGAGGCACCCAGCGACCTTCAGAGCCGGAGACCACGCGGGAACAACACGTCCCAAGGGGAGCCGTCTAGTCCTTACCCGCCCACTCCCACCCCCGCCCCCGGCCCTGTCAGCGTAGCCCCTGGACACAGTCACCTCAGCCTCGCAGTCGCCACCTCCGTCCAAAAAGCCCGCTCAACTTAACGCAGCCGCACTTCCGTCGTCCAGAGCAACAGGTCCTGCCCCCCCCCACACTCACTTCCGCCTTCCTCGCGCAGTGGAGCGAACCATTCTCTCTGAAGGGGTGGGGGCTTTGCAGAGCTTACACAGCCTGTCTTTGCATTGGAAACACCTGGAAGGCAGAGGGAGCTCTCAGAGCCCACCTTGTACCCCGGCGCGGGTTGGGAGCGGGGTTAGCAACCTCTCTCGGGGAATAATCTCCTCTTTTAGCCGATCGTTTCGCAGAAGCAGTCAATGTTCGGTGCATACTTGTTCCTTGAACACCTGACTGTAGAGTCACTAGCAATGGAGCGGTGGACTGAGATCCTAGTCTACATTGAGGGTGCAGCTGTACAAAAAGCCTGGGGTCAACCAGGCAGTTAACAAGCTAGGGTCAGCACGTGAAGGTGTTCAGGGTGGTAGAGGGGAAGCAGAGGCCTGTAAGTTTCATGTTGGGCGAGGTGGGGAGTAGCTGAAGAAGGCATGGCTGTGTTGGAGTTGTGTAACTGTATCGCTGGCAGGTGAGTGGTGCAGAAATTGTTCAAAAAAGATGATGAGCCGAATGGCGAGGCCTAAGGTAGGACCCCTTGGGAGACTGTAAGCTGTCTGTGATAGTGGTCTAGACAGTGACTGTGGGCACAGAAAGAAATGGCCCTTATGTTACAGATTTAGGAATAAATTGAGCTGGCCTGGGGAAGTGTGGGAGTTGAGGAATATTCTGACCTGGTAGGGAGCCGATTCTGCCATTGACTATCAGGAGCTGCAGGGAAAACAGCAGACCTTAGGGTGATGGCAACGCCTTCAACTTTGAACTTGGGGTGGCAAACAAAGGCATGTTTACCATTGGGGTATTCAGTCTGGAGCCAAACTCCCAGCCCTCAGGGAGATCTGGAAGGAAGGGCTCCTGGAGGAAAGTGATGCCTCTCAGCTGCCTTCAAATGCCCTTACCTGTCCGAGCATTGACCTGTGAGATGTAACTAAAACCCAGCAGCTGAGGAGGTTGAGGACAGGTCCTGAGAGGAATGTTTTTTTAATCTCCCTAGGGAAATAATGACTTCATCTTGTCTTCCCACAAAACTTCCTGTCCAAACTGCTTCTAGGGTTGAACCATTCAGTCATAAATCTGTGAGCAGTATGTGTAAATCAAATAAACTCAGTCTTTGAGCCTCCATTTGTGCATCCCAAGGGCATTACTGAATTTTCTATATTAATATCTACCCAATTTCACTAGTATATCAGCCATGTTTTCCATGAGCATTATTTTGTTTCTTTTTTCTAATATATTATTTTTATTTTATTTTATGTATATGAGTGTATTGCCTGCATGTTTAAGTGCATCCGTGTTGCGCAGCGTCCTTAGAGGTCAGAAGAGGGCATTGGAGTCCCCTGGAACTGGAGTTACAGGTGGTTATGAGCTGCCATGTGGGTGCTGGGAATTAAACCCAGGTCCTCTACAAGAACAGTGTTCTTAACCTCTGAGCCATCTCTCCACCTCTCCAGTCCAAATAAATAAATCTTCCAAAACAAAACAGGGTCACAGCATGGGAATTACTTTTCTTATCTTAAGCTTGCTTATAATGTAAACAAACTCACTGAGCCTGGTGCTCCTCTTGTGCCCTGGTCATATGACCTTAATCCCTCAGGACCATACCTTGCCTTCTACCTAAGATAGCATATGAATGTCTGTTTGCATGTTTTACATATTGAAGCATCAAAGCATAGCAAACAGCACTTTTCTCATTTCAAACAGTGAGAGAAATTGTCTGTCGTGTGTTGTATTGTAGTTCTATGAATAAAAGGGTAAAATTCTCTGATAAGAGTAGGTCTGACTTTTACTTCCCTATTTCATGCTGTAGATACAATTTCAATAAAAGAATGAGCAAACCCCTTGCTCAGGAGTACAGTTCCAAGAGAAATCTGAAGGAACAGGTTCTCAGTAGGTCAGTCTCTCTTGGCCTTAAAATGAATACTGAGTCAGGTTCTTTCTTTCTTTCTTTCTTTCTTTCTTTCTTTCTTTCTTTCTTTCTTTCTTGCTTTCCTTCTTTCTTTCTTTCTTTCTTTCGACAGCT